GATAGGTGTCGTCAAAAATGGTTTGGTTTTGACACTCGGGGTAATCGACTCGTCGGAAATAGGGTGGGCTTCCGATGCACCGATAGAAATGAGAGCATTTCGGGTCATTTGGGTCCCGGAAAAAGCCTTCTTTCGTACACTTTCCCACAGTTTGTGGTGTTGTGCTCGCAATGGTTGTTGGCTTTGGACTCGTATTTGTAGGAACTGTAGTCAATTTAGTTGTGGTAGAGGTTGTTGGGGTTGTAGTTGGGATTATGGTGGGAGTTGTGGTAGGGTTTTTAGTTGAGGCAGTAGTTGGGGCAGTAGTTGGAGCTGTGGTAGGAGTAGTTGTAGTGTCTAATGTAGTGGGTTTGGTGGGTGCGGGTGTTGGCGAAGGTGTCGGAGCTGTTGGGGTAGTTATGGGAGCAGTTGTCGGGCCTGTTGTTGGCTCTGTTGATGGAGTTTTAACTGCTCTACAGACGCCAGGTGACACACATACCTGTCCACAAAATAATATTTGGTATTTAAAATAGATAATCAATAGAAATGAAGTTGATATTATAAACCCACTTTGCCCTGATCACAAGCCGTAAGTCCATCAGTAAAATAAAAGGTGTAAACAATTCTGGTTGTATTGAATACAACACAATCCACTCGACACTCATTCATCAGATTCCTTATGACCTGAAATACATTTAATACAAATTATTTCCTATTTAATTGTTAATTATTATTAATATTTGTATTACCGATTTGTCGCTTTCGTTTAATTTATTATAATCATATTCCGGGTGATATTTAAGGCACAGTTTGATCCTTTGTTCAGTCGATATTAGATCATCCGATGCTTTGTATAAAAGTTTGTTTTATTATAATAAAAGGTCAACTCTTTTAGTAGATTACTTACCTTGAAACACATTAATGAAATAATCATTAAACTGATTGTTTTTCCATTTATTTTCATTTCTATTTCCGTCACTTAATTCAATTGAAAAGTTTGTGACATTATAGACAAAAGTGGTTGAAGTGAAGGCAACAAATAAGATATTCAAATAGAAATTCATAATTTGTTTAATGTCTTAATGTCTGACAATGTCTTATGAATAATACATTTTGATTGATTGCACTCAAGAAAACGTATTCTTATGTTACGTAAACGAAAATATGTGTGACTTTTGAATTGAAAAACAATTATTGATTAGAAACGGATCAACAATTATCAGTGCATTTGGTAATTATTACATTCCTGTTCATAAGTCGATGACTTTTTTAGTTTTAATTTTTTTTAAAAATATACATTTATTCAAATAAATAATTAATTGAGTAGATAACTTTAATAAATACATATTTACTTAAATATAATATTCTTTGATATATTTAATTACGTAAGAAATTGATTTAATTGTTTGTTATATACATTTCAATTGCATGATAATTATTCAACCGATTATCTAATAGTATTATTTAATAACAGATTATGAACACTTTATTTCACTGAATTGTATTATATTTTTTATTAGACTTTATGGTACATTTCAATCATACAGAAAAATTTATTGATAAATATATTCATCATTATTATAATACTAATTTGATGACAATAGTACTTTCTATTGAATTTATTATATCATTTATCATGTATCGAGTTATTATAATTGATACAGTTAACTTTAATTAGAAAAATAAATCTTTTGACTAAAACAAGTTTTATACAATTATAATTTAGTCCTTTGAAATACAATATCAAGAATATTGCTTAATATTTGGTTAAATTAAACATTTAACCCATTTAATTGTCAAATCATTAAAATTAGAAGTAAATGATGAATTAAAATAAAATTGATTTTCAAAAAATTCTTGTGATTTAAAAGTTGCATATTTTATATTTAAATTACATATTTTATTTTGTATTTATAATGTATAAAATGATATTTAAAATACCGGTATATAAGTATTATATTAGTAATAAATGCATTATGAGAGGGATTAATGGATTGTATGTATAATATAAATGAAATTAATTTTTATTGGTCCTCTGATTTCCGGCGGTCGGGTGCGACGGGTGTCACCACAAATCGGGGCACGTTTTCTGATGGCACAGGGGGTGCAGAGCGGGCCGACGGCCACAGACTGTACGGCGAGTGGTCTGACTGATTGAGGGATCGCCGGAGAAGTAGACTATTTCTGAGTCTCGTCTGTCGGTTCATATCATTCAGATATAAAGTGTCGCCAAACGTGAAGACATTGGAGTTCGGGGGCTGTATGCCGGCCGAGAGCGGCATTTTGACGGTCGGGGTCTCCGGTCGGGACAACTGCTCGCGCATTGAGAACCTGTCGTAATCGCCGTCCGATCCCTATATCGGATAAACAGTTAGTTATTGTATTGACGCCAATATAATCGGAAATTGCATTACGATTATTGTGGGCGTTATTTGCGACAAACGAGAGGGTCGTCTACCGTTCCTCCGATTAGCTATGGCTCCCATTTCCACTCCCGATATTCTGTAGTTTGTCATATTGATGGACACACAGCTACTCCTACGCATGCCATCCCTGCCCTCGATGTTGAGGTTGTTGTTAGTCATCGGCGGCTGAAACAGGTTTTGACTCATTCGGCGCATCAGATCCGCCTAAAAGACATCATAATTCATATGAATTGGATTTCATAGACTACTTCTGGACTTTAATTACATTATGCGTGGAAAGTCGTGTCCTATGTATAGACCGGTAGACGTCATCGGCCTCGACATCCCTAACGATATCATTAAGTGTCTGGAATTGAGTGGCTCTGGCTTCGGGACTGTTGGACAACAACTCGTTGGCATCGATTCCGTTCATATCCTTTCAGTTCAATGCAAAACACATTAAAATATTGTTTTACTATTTATTATAAGATGTATTATGGTACTATAACAATACTATGATCTGTAAGTACCAGTATATCATATTACTGTTTGTAGGATGACTTACCGCCCATTCTTTGAGCACCCGTTCCCCCATATTATCCCCACTATTACTTCCGTGCTTTGCATTATATTCGCGTACAACCTATTATTAATACAGTATTGATTAAATTGTTTGATTACTTATAAACAAATCGCATATTCATAGCAAAAATATTCATTGAAATAGAAATCTATAAATACTTTGATGTCCTCCTGGAAGAAGCGTCTGGTGTTTGGCGACATTGTAGATAACGGTGCGATCTCTTTG